TGAGGGGTGTGAAGGTTATCCGATTGTGGGATTTTGTATAGATATTATTATTATCATGTGAGTGTGTGTGTATATGTGGGTGTATGTGTGTGTGTGTGTGTGTGTTTGTATGTGTGTTGAAATGCTCCCTAATGACATTCCTGATTTTCTTTGCCCAGCGTCACCAACTGGCTCCAGAAACGGGGATGAGTTCTCCTCGTCTGTTGTTGTCCAGGTGAAAACTCTGGAAGATTTGCTGAAAAAGTACAAGGTGAGTCTTAGATTTTTAACCTTAAATACAACCAAGTGATTTGTGAAGAGATGGAAAATGTTTTGAGTGATTGGTTCTAGCAAGAACAAGGGATCCTGCAATTATCTATTTAAATTGTGTACTCTTATAAAAACTCCAGCATCATGATGATTTGCACAGGAAGAGCTAGACTGTAACCATACTTAAGACATTTACAGTGTCCAATTCTGTGGTAATTGTTTATTTCTACTCTAAAAAATCAATAAAACTATAATATCAATATACAAAAATGGGATTGATTTTTTTTTAAAATTGGGGACGGGGGATGTGCACAGTGGCCTACTTTTTAAATAGCAGACACTATTATTTAGGTTAACAATGTAGGCTATTTGTATCTGTTGTGTAAATAATAGTTGTAGCCTATTGATTGAAAATCATCCCTTATTTTTTTTTAAATGTCATATCAAAACCTGTAAAAGTAAGCATATTAAATCGAGGACTGTCTTTCTTTTTCTTGAACTAGGTGTCCATTGTTGTGTCAATAATGTGCTACTGTTTACTCACACAAACAGGCTATAATTTATTCTCTTCTTTCTAATAATATCTCGGTTTGATTTCAATTTGGTAGAGAACCATTATGTTTTCATTAGTATGTTTGTGTGCCATAACATGTACATTGAAAAATTGCAGGGTTTACAAGAACAATCACAAAGAAAGCAGTTTAAAAAAAGAAATTTTCAGTGAGATTTGTATACTTGTTCCTGTCAAATATTTAGACGATTTATGCATTCTTACCCACAGGATTTCTGGACCTTCTGGGAAACGTTCAAGTGTGTGGCCGAGATGCTGAAACAGCCCAAGTTTATGTTGGTCTGTGACAAGTGGGAGCAACTCCGGTTCATTACCTCAGCACATTTTGTCAAGTAAGAGTTCTTTACCTTGATATACTTTGCTTAGTTTGATTTTAGAAGATTCCAAGCATATCCACAGAAGAATAGACACCACTTCTTTGAAAAACGAAGGAAAAAACTGATTTACCAGAATGGAAATGTAGTCAATGTTCTTTTGTCTTGTTGCTATATTTCTATGTAATTTAGAGTTTATGGAGCAGCTCAACATTTTAAATGAAAGAGAACAAATGTCGTCATCGGAACATTCTAAAAGTAGGCTATGTATAATATTATTCACCACTAAGAAGTTATTTTGTTCCAAGGTTTTGTTCACCAACCAGTCCCCTTCATATTATCATAAGGAGACTTTAAACCAGCTTGCACTGGTTATTGATAGATGTCATTCGTGTATATTTCTTTTACTCGTATTTTATTCAAATAAGTATCAAGCCAAACCCATGTTATGGCACAATGACCTATTTACTTGGAGTTTTAAGTGCTATGAAGCTCTTACTAAAGCCAAACCCAAACTGTGCCATTATTTACTTTGTGTTGTAAGTGCTGTAAAACTCTTATTAAAACTAAACCCAAAATGAAACCCCCAACAAAGTTCCATCATATTTTTGTGTGGTTCCAGGTTCTGGGACACTCAGCTCGACCTGGCTAAGGAGGACATCACCAAGTCCCAGGCCTCACTGGTCATGTATGAGACTCCCTCAGAGGAGATGCCAGTGACCAGTGAAGTGACCATTGAGGAGGAGAAGGAGGAGACCACTACAGACACTGTGAGTTTTGTTTGTGTGGTTGTCATGGTGATTAAGTGCGTGCGTGTGTGTGTGTGTGTGTGTGTGTGT